CGGGGTGACTGTGTGGGCAGGCAGCTGGCAGGGCAGTGACACTGAGGCAGGCAGGGGTGGGGTGCCACATAGACACCCCAGATGGTATAAGCTCCTCAGGTGTCACAACACAGGTCCCTGCTCTGCAGAAGGACTGGAAGTGGCTGGGCTCTAGGGAAGAGTTTGGAGGTGGACAGGGGACATACTGTCACCAGCTGAAAGTACATCAAGCAGCTGGGAGAGATTTTGCAGTAATAAAAGCTGCAGGGACTAAGCGCTGAGGCTGATTCCCTTCACCTGGGAAGAGCCTGGCGATGCTGCTGCTGTCCAGGCATGGCAGGGTCACAGCATAGCAAGGGCTGCACCAGCCACCTCCTGGAGGGTGGAAGCATTTGGGAAGTGTTTTGGATGTGAAATCTTCCCTTGGGGAAACACTTGGCTTGCCTGGCTTTGTGACCAAGGAAGCAGGCATGCTGCCAGGCTGCAGTGAGGGAGTACAGCTCTTTCCTGGGGTGCTCAGGGCAGCTGGGAAACGTCTCTGCAGGCTGCAATGCAGCACAGTGCCCTTTTTCTACCCTGGAACTGAATGCACCCGACTAAAGAATGCAGCTGGAGGTCACAGGGCAGGAGAGAGGAGAGATGGGACAGAGACTGGGTTGTCACTGTCCCACGATCAGTGAGTCAGCAGTGCCCCAGGCTGTGGGGGGAAGGCAGAAAGCACATCCTCTTTTCAGGGAGAAATGCTGCAGCCACTACTTCTAATCACAGCTCTGCGGCCGCTCTGACTTTCTTTCACTGGCTTGAATTCTATCTTTTGCAGCTTCAAGGTCTGAGCTCTGCTCCTGGCAGATACACAGGCACAGTGCTGGCTGGCACCTTCGTGCAGCTCCACTGCAGAACTGCTGAGAACCTGGGAGCTCCCCCTGCACGGGCTCCTTGCCTACACCTCCCCCTGCTCTGTGCTGATCAGCTGCCTGAAAAGCTCTGCAAGACTCTGGGTTTGTAACTGAAGCAAGAAGGAGGTGAGGAAAGTCCCTGGGGAGAAGAGCAAGTGTGAAGGAACCCGCCTCTTCTTAATTCTTCCCGGGGAGAGGATGCAGCCTCCTCTGTGCTCTGCTCCCCACAGGGTCCTGCCTGCTCTGCCGGCAGGGGGATCCTGCCTGGCTCTTCACTGCAGGCATCTGCAAGTCTCTGCTCTGATATTTTATATACAACCCATTTTTCATGAAGGGAATTGCACTGGTGTGTGTTTATAAAGCAGCCTGGGGACCTGATCCAAATGTCCTCAGCTTTAACGTCACGCTGCCTGCTTAGGGAGAAGTGGGTAAGTTTGTGGCCTTGAATGCTACAGCTGCACCCTGAAGCCAGGCTATTTTTGCCATATATTTTTCTGAAAGTCATGGCAGGACAAACTTGCTGTCTGTAGGCTCGATCTGAAATGCACTGGAGGCTTCAAGAGGGCTAGGAGCCCCTGGCCAGGCTGCTGGAGCTGGTGACATCTGACATCAGACCACACTGATGGAGTTGGCATGTCACCCTGGGTAAAAGTAGATTGTGTTTAGCTGGTTAACCAGTGAGCAGCTCTATGCTCCTGAGGATCACACTCAGTGCTTCCCCAGAAAACAGTTTCTTGCATGGCCTCCTGACACTGCTTTGGGTCTTATATTTCATGGTTATTCATTACATGAAGCTTTGCAATGGTCTCTGATAGCAGTACCCCTGTTTCCTTTAATTTAGCCACTATGAATCTTGGCAAATTCAGAAAGCCAGGCTGGGCTCCACACTGCCATCCAGAGAAGTCAGTTAGGAAAAGCAGAGACCTTAAGATACACTCGGGTGCCCTTCCTCTCTCCTTCACTGCTCTCTTGGAATTGTTGGAAAAATGAGCACCCTCATGGTAATAGGGGCATGTATAATGAAAATGTTTGTGCTTTTTCCAGAAGATGGAAATCTATCCTTGGCTGCTTGTAGCTGTTTTTCTGAGGGGAGAGTGGATTTTTGTAAGTGATGGAGTCATGCATGAGGTGAGTGTGGTGACTTGGCAGCTTTAACTCTGCTTCACCAGACAAAAAGTTTGATTTGTGAACTTCCCAGACTTGGGGGAATAACTCAGACTTTTCCTAGCCTAAGGTGTTTTCTTAATTTATGTTACTTTAATCATGGAAGCAAACAAAGATGTAATCTAAAGACTGGAAAGGAAAGGACAGGTTATCCTCAGGTTATCAGGTGTGCATAGTGTCGCTCCCCAGGCATCATGCCTTTTCCAATCTTCATTTGTCTCCTGTGGAGATGCAATTCTATTGCCAGGCTGCTCTTCTACGGATCTTAATTATTTCGTGGGGGCAGCACACAGTGCTTTGATGCTCAGACGAGGCGGATTTGGCCAGAATGTGATCCTGTTCTTCCCGACTTCCAGCCTCCGTAGAAACCCATGAACTGGAGGAAGGCCAGGCAGCTACTCTAGTGCCTCCTGGCATAGCCTGCTTTCTCAGGAGTGGGGAAAGAAATAATCATGCTGCTAATTGGCATAATTATGTCAATAACTCCCAGGCCCCATCTAGACAGAAATGATGGTAAGGCTTTTCCCAGATGCTGTGGTCTAAGTGCAGCGGCAAAGCCTGCGTTATGCCAAATAAAAAGTGTTCATTTGTTTCCAGAGTTATAAGATAGTCTGTTGTAGGGAGTAATTTTTCACACTTATTGGGAGCTCTGGCCAAAAAGTTTTGATAATCCTCCAGATCATTAGTCTCCGTCAGCCTGCAGGATGTTCACAGTTCCCTTTTGTTTTGCTTTTCACGCTGAGTGAGGCCGGTGTCTGGTTTAATACAGAGGATAACTTTTATCGCTGCAGGACTCCAAAGCCTGCGTTTTGGATATTTTCATGTTGTGACTGCTGCCAGTAATCACAGATAAACCTCATCTCTGTTGTTTGCCTGAGCTCTTAGCTCAGCCTCAGAGTGCGTTTTTAATTGAACCCACTGCAGCGACGGGGCTTGGATCTTGTTGTTGCTTCCCAGTCTGTTCCTGAGCCATCCACCTGCTGCCAGCTCGGCCAGACCCACCTCCTTGGGCCTGCCCTGCCACGGCTCTGGTGAAGGTGTCTGACCTGCCAGCACTCCACCCGTGGCTGAGTGTCTGTGAGGTTTGACAGGGACACTCACGTGCTGCAGGGATGGATCGTGGTTCCTGCTGCTCCTGTTCCCATTGCAGGCAGGAGCTGGGAGGAATTCAGCCACTGGGACTGCTCCAAAATTCCCCGCTCCGCAGATTGGGAAGTGCTGAAGCCAGCTGTCTGCCAGGTCCCATGCCGGCGAGCGGAACCTGGCTCCTCCATGGGCTCCCAGTTTGGCCCTCTTCCCAGTCCGGTGACAAAAGTCATTGAGGAAGAGGGCATGGAAACCTCTCCTGGGTGCCGGAGGGTGCCGCAGTCCTGTGTTCAGGGGCTCTCAAGGGACACTGCAGCCCTTTCCACCGGCAGGAGGGGGTGGCCAGCTGGAATCAGGGCTCTCAGGGGAGAGGGGCAGCCTGATGGTCTCATGGTCAGTGTGCTGACCTGGGCAAACTGTGCACCTCGTGCCTGAGGGTCCCAGCACCAAGGCTGGCTTTTCCTCGGGCAGGGATAGAATCACAGAATGGATCAGGTTGGAAGGGACCACAGCGGGTCATCTAGTCCAACCTCCTTGCATAAGAAGGGTCATCCTAGAGCACGTGGCACTGGATTGAGTTCAGATGCTTCTGGAATATCTCCAGTGAGGGAGACTCCACACCCTCTGGGCATCTATTCCAGTGTGTGGTCACCCACACAGTAAAGAATTTCTTCCTTGTATTCAGGTGGAACTTCCTGTGCATCAGTTTCTGCCCGTTGTGTCTCATCCTAGTGGCTGGCACCACAGAGAAGAGCCTGGCTCCATCTCCTTGGCACCCCCCTTTTAGATATTTATAAATATCTAAAGCTGGGTGTACTTAAAGTGCTGGTATCTAAAGCTGGGATGAGCCCACCCAGCCACTCGAGTTGTCAGTGGGGGCTCCAGAATGCCAGGAGGACCCCATGGATGCTCCCTGTGAGCAGCTGCCCCGGGCCAGTGATCGGCAGGAGGCTCTGCTGGTGTCCCCACAGAAAGAGCAGAGAGGACCCCACCACCACCTCGGGCTCCCGTGGCTCAGCCCTTCTTGGTGGTGTTGCAAAATGTGGAGTATGTAAAAATTCTATCAAGAAAAGATGTTCTTTGATGTTTAATCTCTGTACACTTTCAAGCCTAATCAGCAAGAAAGGAGATTTAATCCGTGAAACAAATAGCAAGCTCTAAGTGATGTCCTGATGTTAGAAAGATAAATTACTTGTCAGTAGCATTGCTTTGTTAAGGTTTAGGGCTTGATATGTTTCAATGAGGTCAGACCTAGGGGGAGGTTACCGAAGCTTCGGAAGAAGGATGTACTGCTGATGGTGGACACAAAGAATTCAGAATTTATGGTTTACAAGGACATTTGGCAGAACCACCAAGATAAGGAAGAAACCAAGAAAGTCAACTCAGTCACTGTGCTGAAATCATCTCTGACTGGGTAACAGGCAATTCTGGCAGGGGCAGATCGCAAACACCGACTCACAGACCACCAATCCAGGAAACCCACCAGCTCAGAAGAAGAGGAAGACGGAGCACGCGGACTGATTAGCATGAGAAACGAGAGAATCGTTAACCCGTGGAAGACAGAGTACTAATTAACAGGAGAACCAGGCAACTTGTAGCCGATGAACACTAATGCCGTTGCTTGCTAAAATGTGAAAACTTTTGGTAGTCGTCGTGAATAGCAAAAGGACTTGCCACCCAGCCCCCCTTTCTGCACAGAACTGTAAATAAATCACACACCTCGACTCTGTGTGTGGATCAGCCTCGTAAACACCGGCGGAAAGCACCTATTTTGGGACAACAGCGGGACCAGCACCGGGAGAGGGCGTGTCCACCCCCGAGGCCCCGCCCCCAAGCCCGGAGGAGGGGCGCATGCGCAGTGCGCCGCCCGTTACCTGTCAGCGGCGGCGGGTGGAGGAGGCGGCGGCGGCGGGATGGAGGGGCTCATCCCGCTCGTCAACCGGCTGCAGGACGCCTTCGCGGCGCTGGGCCAGAACTGCCTGCTCGACCTGCCACAGATCGCGGTGGTGGGCGGGCAGAGCGCCGGCAAGAGCTCCGTGCTGGAGAACTGCGTCTCCAGGTGAGGGGCGACGGGCGCGGACCCCCCCCCGCACCGTACACACATACACGCGCACACGCGCGCGCACACGACCCGGGGGCTCGCGCCCTTCCCAACGGTCGCGGCGCGCGCCCCCCCCTCACAGCGGCGGGGCTGGGGGGGGAGCGGTCACGGGCGGGGATGGACCAGGCGGGTTTTTTTGGGGGGGTTTCGCGGCGGCCCGTTCGCGGCTCCGACACCCCCCCCCGGGTGTGCTCGGTGCCCTCCCGGGGTTGCCGCGGGGGTGGCGAGGCGGGCCCTGGCCCGGCGGTGCCCACTATGCGATGTGCGCGCTGCGGGGAAGGCGCCGCGGCTCCTCTGCGAGCGCGTTCGTGTGCCCGGGGTGTGTGTGTGTGTGTGTGTGTGTTTGTACGTGTGTGTATGTATGTATGTACGTGTGTATTGACTGCTGTCCGAGGGACACACGGCGTTTAAAGCCCCAAACCCTGATTTCGGTGGGGTGATGGCGCTGGGCTGCTCATCCCGCTCATCCCATCGCTTTACAGTTCGCACCGTCGTGACGCGCCCGTGGGTATTCGAATCACAGGGGCGTTAAGGTTGGAAAAGACCTCCAGGATCGCCAAGTGCGACATTAGCATCGTTCCTAACAATGAAAATAGGGGAGCCTGGCGGTTCAGGTGCTGCTTTTCGACGGGCAGGCAGTGCCTCTGGAGATGGCCCGAGGTAAACACGGGCTTCACGTGCTGATAAAGTTCCTGCTGCGTTTGCCGCAAATAGCTGCGGGCTCCCGATGGGAGGGAGGGAGGAAAATGGTGCTCCCGGAGCGGAGCTGCGAGCTCAGCCTGGATTATAAGGTCAAAATACTGGTGTGTGTCGGTGATTGAGGAACTTTCATGAGTGGAGGTCTTCACTGAAGGTAATATTAAACTCTGTGTCACTCCACAACCTGGCCATGTGTCAGGCTGCAGCAGCTCTTGATATACAGTATAAAAATTCTATACAGTTGTTCTTCAGCTCTGCTTCAGAATTTACTGTGTTAAATGTCAGTTCTTCCTCTTCATTCTTCTTGAAGACTGTGGTTAGCTACTGGTGTTGACAGTACTGCTAATCTCTCGAGTAGTGAAAGCATAAATGAGAGCCCCAGAAAGCACAATTGGCCGCCAAATTATTACCGTTTTCTTTAAACAAGTCCTTAAAAAGAAATTTGGTAACCCTTTCACTTTTTGATCTATGTGTCCACGAAGCTGTGCAAAGCATGTGTGCTGAGGAGAAAAGGCAACTTCATCTTTCTTGTCAGTGAGGATATTTTGGTCCCCGTGGAAAAGCCTTGTCTGGGGTGGCACGCATCTGGGAGAGGGGCTGTGCTGTGTAATGGGCTGTGCGCTGATGTCGGGCTTTGGATCCAGCTGTGCTGATCTTGCTGCTCCCAGATGCTTGTTATTGCTCCGCTGCCGGAGGGATCTGCTCCATCTGATCCGCAGGTGGAGCTGTTCCTTTGAGTGCAGCGCACCCCCGCCCAGCCGCCTGGGTGCGCCTGGCAGGAGCAGAAGGTGGAAATGAGCAGTTTGTGCTGATCTGGCCCGTTTGGACGAGAGGTTGGAACCAGCTGCACAAGTGAGGCGTGGGCATTTCTGGGAAGAACTATGAAGGAAAGCGAAGGGCAATGCCTTTTTTGCTCACGTAGCAATTCCCTGTGTAGCCCGCAGACACTGCAAGGGAGTCTCTTCAGAGAAAAGCCGATAGGCTACTGAGAAACGCCAGTGTGTCTCTGTCACAGGGGATCTGGAATTTGGATTCTTTCAACCCGGTTTCAGAGTTTTAAGTTGTTGTAACTTTTTGAGATTCAGCATGAGCTGATATGTAGTACCTCCCTACTTGCAACCATGGAGCCTATTGCAAAAATGACATTAGAATGCATTGCTTCAAACCTATTCCATGTGCCTTTCCTCTAGATTGAGTGAGTACATGTGGTCAGCAGATGTGCACTTGCTAAGCTGTGAGAACTTGGTTGTGAACCCTCAGAACCAGATTAATAAATATCCATGAGATCGGAAGAGGATTTCGTTTGTCAGATCAGCAGGCAAATGATCTGTGTCTCTTTTTAGTAAGCCATAGGATCTGTTTTTATGGGATAATGCAGCTGCTTTCTGCAAATGAGTTTGTTTAATCCACATATGTCTTATAGAGGTAGTCAGTCTCCTTGTAGAGACACGCTGTGTTCATTTCTGTTTATCAGTGTGCTCTGGGATTACCCACACAGGGAACTTCGACTAACAATGACACAGCTTTGAAACTGACAGCAAAATAAAAGAGTCCTTGCATTGCTCTCAAGTGTGAGCATTAATTCTCATGGGGGTTTTTGGGGGGTTTTTGGGGTTTGTTTTCTTGGTGGTTGTGGGTTTGTTTTTTTTACCATGTGAATCATTACCGTTGGTAGATTTTGAACTCTCAGCCTTCAGGGAGAGATTCAAGAGCTCCTCTCTTCAGGAATAGCTGTAATTGGTATGAGGAAGGCATGATATCCCCATGTGGAGGGCAGGGTCTTGCTACAAACATGTTGCTGGTTGATAACCTCAGTATTTGTTAGTGGAGCTTTAGTAAGGCTGGTAAGGTAGTTCTGAACTCTAGGATCAGGATGTTATTCCCTGCTGCCTGTAGCTATTAGACCGTTGTGCCTGTTTCAGTCTTCCATAGGGACTCTGATTGTGCAACGATTACTTTTCTCCGCTTGGACAGTAGAAACCTATTTTCTAGCTTGCAGGTGGTATCAGAGTTGGAATTTCTTTATGGAGCCCAGTAAGCATGGGAGATATTGCATTACCCACCATCCAGTTTATGCACTGCCATAATTTTTCAGAGGGGTTTTGAGGAATCTTGCTCTGGCACAGTTCTGTGGGCTGGCAGATGGTCTGAAAGTGGGATTGAGGTCCTGTTCCTTCTCAAGCTGCTGAGTGACATGCATCCATCACTGTCCCCAGTATAGCACCAAGGCTTGTTTAGGTGCACACAGAATCCTTAATAACTAACAAAAGTTAGGGAATATTTTGGGATTAGTTTACTTGTGATCTGCATTGGCGATGGTGTCGAATGAGGATGAATTCTGCACGTTTGCCTGCTCCAGGAATTGTGTGACACCCAGAACTACTTGTGTTGTTGTAGGCTGACTTTGAGCACAGCTGGAATGGGGCAGTGTCAAATCTCCCAGTGTGTCCATTATTGTTGCTATTTGGATTAGCATCCTCTAAGATATTTGGAGAGTTTCCTCTTTACTTTTTTGCTCCTCTGTAAGGAGACAGTGTCTTTTGGTAGTCAAGGACTATGTTTGAAGGTTTTCCTCTCAGAATTCTGGTTATATTTAGATGGAAACAGAGATTCCAGAGAGCACCTGAGGACAGCAGTCATTTCCATTTATGGGTTAGACCTTCATGTGTTCATAACTGGAGCTCATGGCACTTGTTTGAGGAAATGGGATTGTCTGAAGAGCAAATGTTCTTCCTACCTGCTTCTCTTTGTAAGAGAAGTAAATGTGCCTGTAAAATACTGGGCCAGTGTTTGAAGCAAACGATCCAGTGCAATCTTGTGGTGGAATCTGGTGGGAGAGAGAGATTCAAAATGCAAAGGGGAGTCAAACAACAAATCCCAGCAGATGCCAGTGGGAGACAAGTACTTGGCCTGCGCACACTGCTGTGCTACCGAGCAGTGCAGAGCCATGAACTTATATGTTGTTTGTGCTTTTTAAACATCTTGCTTCTGATAATAATAGGGTTACTTAAAGAAAACTAATGGCAGGAAATAATCCCTGAAAACTGTATTTGGAGAGAAAGCACTTTCTATTATTTCCTATATCCAAAGGGGGTTTTAAGATAACTGAAGGCACAGACTGCAGGCTACCTTGTCAGGGCCTCCTTCTTCAGAAATTAGAACCTTGTTTTATTCTTAAAAATAGCGAGAAATTAATAATTAGGTTTCCAACCTGAAAGCTCTTCACTTCCTTCCCTGCTTAATATGATATGAACTGCATGTGGCCAAATAATTGTTTTATAAGAGATGTGAACTCCTGATTGTAAGCCTGTCAGTCATAATCAAACAAGCACTTTCGTTTTAAGAGCCTGAGGTCTGATTGTATAATTCAGCTTTACAGCTTTTTGATCTGAGACACTTTTGATAATCTTAGGGCCATTGCATGTCGTATAGCTATTTATTATGACATATGTACTGATTATTTCTTTTTCAAATTACAATTCCTTGTGTGCTCAGCTCGTTCTTTTCTTGCTTGAGATGGCGGTTGTGAAAAGACTGCGTTGAGTCATTAGGAGAAGAGACAGGACTTTAAATCTGGCTGTTAAAGCAGAGAATTTCTCCAAAGAATGTAGACATAGATTGGATGCATCCTGGGGGAGAGGCAGTTAAAATTGATGCAGATATTTTATTCTTTTAGCTACCTAGGTATTGACAGAAAAACTTTCTACAGAAAATTCTCCTCTTTTGTGAAACAGGCGTGAAAAGCCAAGCAGTTGGAAATACAAACTGAAGTGTGGTGCTGTGTATCCTTTTTTAATCTTAAGGATCTTCTGGAAATGAGAATCAGCCACTCCTTTTCCTGACTAATTAAGCCATTGTACAGCTTTGAGTACAGTATTGAGTGTATTAGCCTAGTTATCAAAATACTCTGATGCAACAAAAGCAGGAATTGTTTCTGGGTATTTCATTAATTAGAAACAGTAGCAAATGAGACAGTGGCTCATTTGGGTTTCTTCCCTGAATAAGTTGTTACATTTACATAATGCAGAACAAACTGGCTGTTTAGATGGGATACAGATGGCCTAGTTTTGTCCTTACATGTAACTCCATTGTGGACTTAAAGTTAATTTTTTTTCAGTCTTGAGAATTGATATATACAAAGTAAAGTAAATTAGTAGTTAAAAACAGACATGCAAACAAATCTGCTGATTCCCCCCCCCACACACATGTAAAGTAACTTTTTTCCTCTAAAACTGCTTTGAGGATCTGTTTCTCTTGGT